TGAGTTACAACAACTTCAAATGATTATTCCAGGTGTGGTATTGGTACGACACAGATTGCTACGGCTTCGAATAGGTACTTCAGGTTCGCCACGATCACGACAAACTGCGCGATGGTATGGTATTCTGCATTGGGTTGTCGTGTTGGCGGCGCAGGCGACGACTGCCCGGATCAGGTGTATCAGCGCTGGTATCATTGGTTCGGGCAGGGTTCTACAAGCCCGGTATCAAATACAAGTGCTAAAAGACACGCCAGCTTGAGCTTGTTCATTGGCTCAGCGTTGGCCAGTTTGCTGCAGTCCAGCGCGTTTATTCTCGGTACCGGGCTTGTTGTACTAGTGTACCTGGTTCGTTTCTGGTGCCAATGCAGGCCTCAGGGATTTGGTACCGGGCCTGCTTTGCAAATGCGGTCTGCCCTGGCTCTCTCTGGAGGTCACATTCTCTGGTGCAGGGAGGCTATAGGGTGGTCAGCGGGGGAACTTGGGGATTTACCTGGTGAGAGAGGGGAGGCGTGCCTGGCGTACGCTGCCCTCAACTCGATTCAGCAAGGGGGAATAGAGCGCCAGGCAGGCACAGGAGGGGAGGCATTCGGACTGGGGATGAGGACTACTCGGCAAACGAGGCGTCCGCAATAGGCTTGGAAAGAACACCCAATTGACACAGGCGCGGACTGTCTGCACTCGAGCGTGACTGATGGGGCGCTGAAGCGTAGTGAGCCAAGTGCGCACGCGGGGATATGTGGTCCACCAACAGGTGGAGACGAGGGTAGAGTCAATGTGCAAGGCGTACGCCGTATATCGGAGCTGTTTGGTTGTCCAGCCAAACGAGGGAACTCAGCCCACGGTTGAGATTGCTCTAGAGGCTCACTTCAGTGGGGGAGCCGAGGAGAAGAGGAAGAAAGGGAAGAAAAGAGGTAGCACTACGGGAAGTGGAGATGGGGAATGTGTGAGAGAGGTGCGTGAACGTGCTCAACGTTTAGTCAACACTGAGTGAAAGGGAACGTCCGTGTGGCCAAGCTAGCGTGAGGGTGACACGTTCGTCCATACACGCTGGCGCCGGGGTCTGATTCGGTCGCACGCGTGTTCCCTGCTGAATAGGAGCCGTGTGCGTAGCGGGCAGTCTAATTGTGAGTTGGCGTATTGGGAGTGATCTCCGTCTCGACCAGCATATGCTCGAGTCTCTCTATGCAGGAGAGCGACAAGGGACGAGATCCGCTGACAGGTTGGGGAGGCTATAGCGAAGGAGGAAAGGGAATGCGAAGAGGGCAAGTCCTTAGCACGAGCGTGGAGTTCCTCTTGATGCACAAGTCCGCTTACGCTCCTCATGTAACGCGACCTGTGAGTGTTGTTGCAGGTCCATACGGCGACAGGTACTCTGCTGTGGGAGAGGGCGAGTGAGCTACGGGGGCACAAACGCAGCTTGGGCTAGAAGGAGGGGAACCTTGAGGAAGTGAAGAAGAGAGGTGTGTAACGCAGTGAGTGTAAGAAGCGCGAGTGTTGGTGTCTTTAAACGAGTGGTTTCAGTAACGAATCAAACCGGAGTGGGCACGAGCCGTGATCGCCATTTGGGAGGATACCTGACCGTGTGTGATATAGCGGAAGCTCGAGAGCAGGGATGCGCTGAGAGCGAGGAGGTACCGTGAGCCTAAAGAACTGATAAGAGCAGCGAGGCGCAGTCTGACGATCAGTTCGTGAAGTGCTCCGGAGCCGCCTCTAAACGGGGCAGGGGATGCGGTCGAACTGGATAAATTGATGCGAAATTGGACTACCTAATTGGACCTCACAAAGGGACGCCTCTATCCTCTGCAGGGGTATGGCCCTCCCCATTTGAGTGCGATTATCCGAAGTTGTAATTCCGCAAGTAGGAGGTAAGCAAAATCGAGGCTGCAAGGATGTGGGCTCGAGCTTTAAACGAAAGAGTATTTGTATCGTTCTTGCCTGTGCCTTGGTTGCTGTGAAGGCAGAACCAGTGGGGTAATCTACTTTTCTGCCCCGCGACCCGGTCGTCGATTGGCCTTGCTAAGCATATCGTTTCAGGCATGAAGAGAGCATCATTAAATGGAAGTGTGAGACGAAAGCGATCTACGTTTGAAGGACTGCTACAAAGTAAGCCTTATCTGAGTCATTGGTACGTAAATTAGAGCCTAAATCCTCTGTTGCGACGGGTTTTTGGCAGATAAAGTAGAGTTGGTTTCGGGACCATTCGAGCGATCTTTGAATTTATCAGGGCCGTGTTTGGTAAAACGCGCAACAACGCTGTAACGCCGCCGTTCGTCTCTAATTACAAACTCTTCTGATCCGTGGACCCCCCCCCCCCCCCCCCTGAAATGAGCCGAGGTAGGGATCTACTGGGAGTATGAGGGGAAACCTTACCTGTATGACAATGTAACCATGTATCGGGCTCGAGTACGAATGTATTGATGACCTTGATTGACTTGCATGTCTGGAAAGTTACTCTGCTCTGCTGGCGAGCCGCGCTGCGTGCGCGCGTGTCTCTCTTCCATTAAAGTTCATTTAATTATTTCGGTGTACTTAGGATCCACTTTAAGTGAGAAGGGAAACAGAGGCCACAACAGATCGTGGGAAAGCGATTTTGAGAGAAAGAGGAAGGTCACGCGTACGAACACGCAGGAGGAGACAAGGGGAACAGTTGTTGTTAATCCAAACGGCGTAAGAAACGAACGCTACCCACGAAGAACTGATTCTTTGCACCCTGAGAATATATCAAATTAGTGTCCCATGTATGCTCTGAACTTGTTTGCAAGGCAGTCGGGGCGGGTACAAAAATTAATGTTTTGATCAGTAACCCTCAAATTGACAGATATGTGACATCTACTGGTTCAAACCTGTTGAAACGGGGACACACTCTTACATCTGGCATCATGCCCCTCCCCTAGGGGAAAGACTATGCCTATAGACCAAGTCCTGGAAATAATCGGAGATTCATAGCTGTCTTTGGGAGGTGCGTTGTTGGGGCAAATACCCTGACAAGGGTATTTGCCGGGGATTTTAAACGTCGGACACTGTCCGACTCTTTCGTTGAATTGAAGGACTTGATGAGACCGACGTTGCCAAACATTTATTTAGACCGAACCTACGACCGAGGGACTAAATTTTTGCTTAAGTCCAAACGCCTGCGGCATCCAGAAATGGTGACGGTAATTGGCGATACTTCACTTTTGCCAAGGGGTTGCAACAACATGCGGCTATTGGAGTACTAAATCTAGAAACGTCCTACCTAATAGCACCAGCCGTGGGATTTAGAGCTTGGGTGGTCAGAAAAATAATGGCCCTGTTTGGTTCACGACCTCAACATAGAGAAAAAAGGTTGCCTATCTTTTAATTTTTTAATTTTTTTGCATGTATGCTTGCAGGACTTTAACTTTACATCTAGCGGTCCGGACGTCGATGCTCTGGCCTATCAGACGAGGCACCCGTTCGAGCCACAGATGGGGGAGGGAGACTTCAACCGGTCCTAGCACTACGCCACAGTCGAGCTCGAGGCCGACGATGGACTAGTAGGGGTTGGAAGTCTGGCCATAGGTTAGAGGCCTAACCGTTGTGTTAGGGGCCCGACCTACTGCAGGCTCAAGCAGACTGAGTCTGCTGGCCACAGGATGAGAGGCTCGCTGGGCACCTGTTTTCACGGGAGTCATATTTGTTTCTGGAAGCCTTTTTTTTTTTTTTTTTTTTTCTCGTTCTTTTTCTGTTTTTAGACCTGCTCCCCGACCCCCTGGATTGGGAAAGATGGTACCACGCGTGAAAGCACGAGGTAATGTGCCTCCCCATGTTTTAGGAGGAGGTGCATTTCCGTTGTGCGCCCTAAAGGAGTGATGGCAGCTTGCTGCTTTTGAATTCAATCTTGAGTCTGTATTTCAAACGGGTATGGGAAGAAGGGAGAATGATTGTGTTACCATGTTTGCCTGTGGATCTGACGTTGAGTCCGTATTTCGACAGTTCAATGTTGCACTAATGGGCCGCGAGGGTGAAGTGACCATTTGCTGAGGCCAGCAGGAAAAAAAAAAAAAAAAAAAAAATCACAAAAAAAAACAAAAGGGGAGCCCGAGACCAGAATTTTGAAACACTCGTATTTTTCACTTCGCACCAATATTTTTTTCATGGCTGAAAATGATTTTTGTTTACTTTAGATTTTTTTTCTATGAGTAAGAGGGCACCTAGCCCACATGTGGGATTTTTTTCAAAATTTGTTGTTGAACGAATTGTTTATTAAAAATCGGCAAAGACAGACTACTTTTCGAACCCCCTCTCAGCCTGTCGTGACTTGAATTCGTGAATATCACGAGTTGATTGTTCCCCTCCCAGCCTCAGTACTTAGCTGGCACCTGTCATAACGAGCACCAGGCAAGGAAAAGGCAGCCAATGGCTGCCAGGAAACTTAGCAGCAGCCATTGGCTGCTGATTTTATATATATATATATATATGGGGAGCATAACCGTGGCCATTCTTCCTTGAGTTGAGGTCACGGAATTACCAATTGAAGGCCCAGCTCCATAGGGACTGAGCTAGCCTTAAATTTTGAAAGAGAGGCTACTTTAGATCACTGCTCCAAAGCCTGGTGAGGCTGCTTGAAGCCATCACCATGGTATGCATAGGCCTGCAGAGGGCCCTGTATATATATGCATGAGGCCAACCGGATCTAAAAAATGAAAGTTATGGGTGTGAGTACGAAGCTACAACAACTTGAGCTTCAGGATTTCAGCAGAGGACGTAAGCAAAAGGTGACAAGTGGCAATCACAAAGCTATTTCCGGACTTAACAGCATGAGTTGAAACGGAGAAAGAAAGACATGAACCCATAACTAAAACAACGCACGTTTCTCTCCTCCATTACTATATCAAGAGGGGCTAGCCCAGGTAGAGGCACACTGAAGCGGTGGCCTAGCATAAGGTCAGGGGTATACAGTGATCCTTGAAGGAGCTTTGAGGCAGCAATAAGGCAGCTGGAGGAATGTTGGAGGTGTGCTGGAAGAGGGTTTGGAAAAGCAAGTTGAAGGAGGTCTCCAAGTTGGAGAACAAGCTGTAGGAGTTGGAGAGTTGGCAGGAGGCGATGTTACTCTTAGTGGAGCCAGAGCCCTGAGCCAGTTTGTTAAGCCACATCTCCATTTTAGTGGGGTTGTGCTGGCGAAGTGCCATCGTGTCGACGTAGTGTTTTTTTTAGTGGGATTGTGTCGTCGGAGTGCTGGCTTGACGGCCATGGTTTATTTCAAGGGGGAGCTGCTGTTCGATTGGCGGCATGACAACGGCGACATTTTCAGTAGGGACACGCTGCAAAATTTTGGGTGCGTCGACGCTACTGTTTTTGAGGGGTAGTGCTGCCAAAATTTTGCGGCACATTGGGCCCTTTCGCTCTGGTGTGTGAGCTGGTGGCGGTGCTGCTGGACAACTTTGGTACCGGTTTTGACGACACGGTGAGCGGCAATCCCGCATTTATTTTTTGAGGTGCGTTGCTGAGTGTTTTTTTTTTACAGTAGTGTTTCTGGATGGAGGTGGTAACATTATGGCGGCGTGACATTGGTGGTGTGGCCCTTGAGGTGCTGGCACTTGCGGCATTTGGCACCGGGGGGGCGCTGTTATTTTTATTTATTTATTATTATGATTATTTTTCGGGGGGGGGGGGGTCCATGATGCAAACTTCTTATTTTTGCCAAGGACCCTTCGGCAGCGACGCGGAAGTGCTGCAAAACATTTGTGGCGTCGACGGTGTTTTTTTTGGCAGCGACGCGAAAGTGCTGCCAAACTTTTGCGGCGTCGACGGTGTTTTTTTTGGCAGCTACGCGGAAGTTCTCCCGTACTTTTGCGGCAGCGGTACCGCATTTTGAGTGGAGGCGTGGAAGCGCTGCCAAACTTTCTTGGCGTCAGTAGTGGGTTTTTGGCAGTGGTGCGGAAGCGGCGCCCAATTTGTGCGGCGACTAGGCATTGACTCAGAGGGTTGCCGTCGAAGTGGTGGCATTGATGTTGTGCTGTCTATGACACCGCTGTGACGCATTGATATTGGTGGCGAGTGCCAGCTACGCTGAGATGCTGTTAGATTCCTGGGAGGTGATTGTGTGTTGAGAGGGTGTCGCGGCAAGCGATTGTTCTAGGAAGTGGTGTGGATCGCTTTGCTGACGATTCGTTGTGACGATTGTCTCACCTAGAGCGCAATTTTACACAACTTTCTTGAGTGAGCTGAATCGAACTTCACTCAAAGTCACTCAATTGATTGACTCAGATTTCCCTTCACAAACGTGCGAACCCACACTTGCTTTACCCTATTCTTTGAATGTTCACTGAAAAGGTAGAGGAAATGTGTATTTGCGCGTGTGAATGGAAGTCTAATGTGAGTTTGAATTGCATTGTTTTTCTTTTGAACTTGTTGCTTGGCCTGGTGTGCAGGTAGGTAGAGGGATGCTTGCAAAGGAGATTGATTATGCCTAATTGAGAAAAGGGAAAATGATTATCTTCCTTTTACTTCTCACCTGCCTGCATGCCAAAAATGATACGTTGTTTTAAAAAACGGTAATTGTGTGTGTACTGTAGAATGAATTGGATTGAAATATGGCAGATAAGGTCAAACGAACATAGTCTTTTTCCAAAGATTGGTCATTTCTTTCCTGAATGACTTTTATCTGTGTAATTGTTTCTCATTCTCTATCTTTTCTACTATTCGTTGCTTTAGGAGCCGACCCTGTTATCGACCCAGAGTGGACCATTCTACGGGGGTTTATTTTGTCGATTCGGTGGAGACGGTCCGACTTCTGAGATCCGAGTCTTGTGCTCGGGCGCGGAGGAGGAGTACCCCAGACCACTTCCTAGAGGGAGAGGCATGCAACACCTCAAGCAATGCCCTTGATCAATCATCCGCATAATAGTTCGCCATCCAAGAAGATTGAGAAACGTATGGAGACGGGTGTGTGCGTGTTCAATCTTAGGTCGGCGGTAGGATGGAATGAATAACTTTGGCAGCGCATCTCATCAAGTTAAAACTTAAGGCAGACCGACTACCTTGTCGGTTGCATTGAGGTTATTGTTGTAAGTCAACTCCTCGTTTGCGGCTGTATGATTTTTGTGGAATTCGACCCGGGTGGTCGGATTTTATTTTGATATTGTGTTATAGGATGTATCTAATGATGATTTATATTCGTTCGGTTATCATTTCAGATTGGATATATGTTTATGTCGACTACGGTTGATTCTATTTTGTGTAACTATGTGTGGTTGTTATGTTTTTTTCTTAAACTAGTGACCAAAGGGACTAGGATATTGGGGGTTTTACACTTGGTTGGGACCGTCCTAATTGATCGGCGTACGCTTCGTACTTAGGAGATCAGTGCCCTAAGGAACGAACGACGTCCAGGTTCAATAGGCGTTTTAACCGCGCGTACCTATACTACAGTGAGCGAGCAAACGCCCTCGACTGACCCACCTCTGCAACTACATGTAAAAGCTTTCGGACGTGGGTCGGTAGCTCGGTAGGGATACAACCCTTTAAGGGTGGTGGCAGCCCCTTAGGGAAGCAATTTTATACTCTGCGGGAACCTGTCCTGTCGTAGGGGACCGTAGGATGTACAACTGGCGCACCCGGCTAGAGCGGCAAAGGGACGACGCGACCGTGACCGTCTCCGCGGTCCGCGGGATTAATTATGCGTCATCCCGAATTTGTCTCTATGGTTTGTATTTAAACTCCTGCGTGACATGGCCGGAAGGGCTCCCGCCTCTTCGCAAGAAAGGCAGGGGCCGATGCGCTCGATAGGTGGCGTCGTTGCCGGGGATAACGGCAAACTACCGTTGTCCCTGGTGGAACGACACTCGGGTGGTATATGAATAGTTTAGTAAATAACTTTAAACGATTTTATCATAGGAATTATATATTACTAGGCGGCCATGCTGTGCCTTTAGTGCTAGCGGCGTGTCGGGAGTGTATTTTTTGGCTGTGACAGACCTTTCTTTGTTTCGTGGATGTTTTGCTGGCTTGTGATGGGGTGTGAACCGACAGTCTGTAGAGTTTTCCATCTAGTGTGGGTGAGTGATAGTCTACTTTGATTTTGGTTAAGGTAGATTATCATTTACAGTGTAATCAATGAGGGGATTCTGTTGACTGTTGACGGTTCAGCCTCCTGATGAGTCGGTGAAACTCCGAGGAAACAGTTTGTCACAGCCCCTCGTTTGTTGTCCTCTTCTCTCTCTCTGCCTACGGTTTACCGGACAGTTCTATTTGTGACGATATATGCTACGACTTCGCTAACTTCCTGCTACGGTTTTTTCCGGTCAGGTCGAGCGGCAGTGGTCGGGGCCATTACTAGGCGGCCATGCTGTGCCTCTAGTGCCAGCGGCGTGTCTGGAGTGTATTTTTTGGCTGTGATAGACGTTTCTTTGTTTCGTGGATGTTTTGCTGGCTTGTGATGGGGTGTGAACCGACAGTCTGTAGAGTTTTCCATCTGGTGTGGGTGAGTGATAGTCTACTTTGATTTTGGTTAAGGTAGATTATCATTTACACTGTAATTAGTGAGGGGATTCTGCAGACTGTTGAGGGTTCACCCTCCTGAGGAGTCGGTGAAACTTCGACGAAACAGTTTGTCACAACCCCTCGTTTGTTGTTCTCTTCTCTCTCTGCCTACGGTTTACCGGGCAGTTTTGTTTGTGACGATATATATATTACTAGGTATGAGTATAATTTTTCTATTGATTTATCTAGTCATTTCATTATGTAGATCTAATGAATTTTAAGATATTGAAATATTAAGATATTGAAATATTAAGATTATGGGTTTTTATATGATTTTGATTTAAAAAGTTAAATTCGATTATTGAAAAAATTTTGTGTCTCTTGCAGGCTAAGACGAAGACGAAGGGAACGCTCGACTGTATATGTCCTCTCTTCAAAGGCATCGAGGTCGCTGAGTTCTTACATGCTTTTCAGAACTTGGCATCATTGATGCTTTGAGAGGAAAATCACAAGTTCCTTTTTATCCTGAACTTGGTCATCGAAGGGTTGAAATTTGACGTCGGACTTCTGTCACGGGCTTCTGGAACTTGGGTTGAATTTGAAAGATTAATGATCGCCAAGTTTACGAAGTCACCCAAAAATGAGAATGATAAGGGAAAAAGGAAGCTAGTGCAATTAGGTGGTGAGGTGCAGTCCGATCAATTGGAACGACCTCGTAAGCTCGCTAAGGCTGCGAGAGTTGCACGTAACTTAGCTGAAGAAGGTCAAGGGACTTGTCGGAAAGAGAATCGAGCCAGGTATATTGAATCATTGCAGAATGTTCCAATCAGAGGGTTAACATGAAGAAAACCACAGGGCATTACAAAACCCTGAGGTGCACATACTGTGGTGTGTGGGGTCATAGGATGCGATTTTGCAGGCGTCTTGACCGTGATATCGAAAAAGGGATTGTGAATAGATGTGAGGATGGAGTCTGTGTAGATTGGAATAATGTGCCCGTCTTCCCAGCTAAGGAGGAAGACAAATTTATTAGAGATGTGCTTATCGATCGCATGTGGGAGAAATTAAGGAGCTGGGCTTGTCTTGGCTCCGTTATTTTACTTTGAGACATTGTTTTTAAGTCTTGTGGATCTCATGATCTACGCTCATGTTTTTCAAGGATCAGTCAGTTGTTATTACTCGATTAACTTCGAGTCATTCGATTGTTGATTTTATGTGATGTTTTACAGAGTGGTTTTTCCTAAGTTTATTTCATTGTGTGGCATGGATGAACTCTCGTTGTGATTGGGAGATGATGAACCAGGAATCCTTATGAAATTCCATGTGAAGGCGTTCGTTGTGATTTGTTGTGAATTGTATTGTTGTCAGTTGATTTTGAATATAATGCGTGACCTTTGTGTCATGAATGAGATGATTGTATGTCTGTTATCATGTCACGACAATTTTTTGATGGATTTGTGAGCTCTGTAGGTGGTAGTGAGGCCTGCGCCGGAGCTATTCTCGTGGTCCATAGTGGGATGTTGTCCTCTGAAACGTGAGTGTTTTAAGGAAGGAGGACTACACTATCATTGAAAGGGAGGAAGGTGTTGAGGTCTTGTTAAAACATTGCATGTAAGGTTAGGCGACTATTGTTTGCCATAAGGGGAGAAGTGATCACCTAACCTCGTTTCAAACAAAGTCACCTTATCTCTATGGTCGGGGTCTAATCAACCTCGGTTGTACGAGGTGGGGCTGTCCTACTCTATGTGCAGGGGATTGATAAGGTCGCAATACTGAAATCCGAGGGAATGTGGTGAGGCTCGAATCTAAAGCGGGGCTTGATATCGAGATGCTATCCCGTAAGTGGATTACACC